AAGATTGTAAGAAATGAGGTTAATAACATTATCAAGGAGCCTCAAAACAGCCAGATGCCCAGTAGTAAGGGAGCCACCCCAACTATGCAGATCTGATGGCAGCCAGCAGCGTTCAAATGGTATCACAGACGGTAAGCAGGTGGTGTGGGACTACACATGTGCATCTACCTTGGCTGATACCTATCTCCAATACACCAGGCAGGAAGGAGGGGTACCCGCCAGCTTCAGGGAGTCCCAAAAGTCTAGAAATTACGGAGAACTTGCCCATCATTATATGTTTGTTCCCATAGGCTCTGAGACCCTTGGCTCATGGGTAAAGAGTGCATCTAAGATCCTTAAGGAGCTAGGCAAAATACTCATCAAGGTAACTAGGCATCCCAGGGCAGCTACTTTTCTGTTCCAGCGACTCAGTGCTGCTGTTCAGAGGGGTAATGCCTGCTGTATTTTGGGCACGCGTCCCAGCTCTGAAGAGCTGGATGAGATTTACGCATTATAATCAGTGACAAACACGTAATATGTATTAGACATGTATCTTTCGCATCTCATGTACTGTATATGCTATCTTTATATCGACAATGTATGTCTTAAACCTTTTGTACCATATTATGTAATAAAATATACCTACTGGTAAAAAAGAATGAAAAGATGTGGTGGTAGGGGAAGTGGAATATTCAAACGGATTCAGGAAGAAATCCAAATATTCTTCCTTCAAGCCTTTTTATCTACTTCTCCGAGGCTGTGGGTCCCACAATTTACACCAGAGGTGGACCCCAAATATTAATATATATATAATATATATATATATATATATAAATATATATATATATATATTATATATAATATTAATATTATATATATATATATTCATTGTTCCTTGTTAATGTGAGCAGTCACGAAAGCGCTTGGAATTTCTCTATTCTTTCACAGTGGTTGCTTTGCGCATAATATATAATATATATATAATATATATATATATAATATATATATATTATATATATATATATATATATATATAATACACATGATCATTTAAGCACAACTACTGGTGAAGGCTCGATCCTCCGTCCATCCTCATAAATTGCATGTAGACTGAGCAGAAGCAGGTTGGATCGCATATCCTGGTTCAGCGCTTGAGGGTGATTACCCCAGCAGAGCTGCACCTATATATCAACTATATTCGTGGGAAGCGCTTAACCCACAGGGCTTGTACAGCGCCTGGGAATTTGGAGGTAATTAGATTCAACGCCTTGAAAATCCTATAATTCTTCCCTCCTTACCGCTCGAACAATGGAAACAAGAACAGTTTTTGTTTCAAATAAACTAGGAAATTTTCGTCAGATAAATTGAGATGTTCTGTAACTTTGTACAATGTTGTAAAAGTTAGGTTAGTCCCACAGTGCGGCTGTACCTAATTGTATTAATAAAAAAGGCGGTGTTTCAGTCTACCTCAATAGGAAGTTATAGCAAAAGAATGTATGAGATCGTCTAAAGATTCTTTAATCAAGGAACGCAGTGAAATGTAATTATCCACAATTTTGGTCTCAATATTCTTTGTTCTAAATCTAACATAGAATCCAAATACAATACAATTTATTTACTTTCCCATTAAGTGCCTCTAAAATTTTGAATACCACCCACACAATGGGTACAGGATGCATAATTAAGCTACTTAACTACGCTCGAGATTATGAAAAATAACTAAATGGTTATAATTGATTATAATTTGTAAAGAGGTGGGCTGGTAAGCCAGCGGAAGGCCTCGGTCAGATGACCAAAAGCTCCAACGATAGGTCCTCATTTGACTAAGACTCGAGTCAGGAATCACTTGTCCTGTTTCCTGACGAACCTTACCTAACCTAACCTCGAGATTATAATAATTTAAAATTATTGTTTGAAGACAAATATAAGCCTATTATCTGTTTTTCACTGTTTTCATGAGGGAGAAATGTCAGGTGAACCAAAATATGTGGTACGTAATATAAGAAACCAATAAAAGTAGGTTCATGTGTATAATTTAAGTTATTGTTGTTGCTAAGCTTAAACAAATATATAAAATGTAGAAGGAAAACAAGTGTAGCAGTGTTGAAGACGTACCTGTTAGGTAAGACATAAGCAACAGTTAGGTATCCCTTAAGTCAATGTCCTCCCTTAAGTCAATGTGACCTGACCTGACTAGGTTGGGTGCATTGGCTTATGCCGGTAGGAGACTTGGACCTGCCTCGCATGGGCCAGTAGGCCTTCTGCAGTGTTCCTTCGTTCTTATGTTCTTATGTTCTTATGTATCTTTATTCCGAAACGTTTCGCCTACACAGCAGGCTTCTTCAAAAGAAGCCTACTGTGTAGGCGAAACGTTTCGGAATAAAGATACCTAACTGTTGTATATGTGTCTTGCCTAACAACCTGTCGGTATTTTATACCACTTTAATGTTCACTTCAAGACGTACCTGTTGGTGAGTGTTACTCCCACCTCCACCCTCCTAGTGCCTAGGTGCTTGCATACTGCTGGAGAGCTCGTGATCCAAGTAATTGGAGTTATTCTCCTCATCCTCGGATCAAATCTACTTTCCTTCCATTTCACAGGCGCCATATGACTCCTATAAGGTTCATACAAGGCCTGGGGAATGGGAGGTTATCAGGTTCGATCCAATGAAGGGAAGGGTAGTTCCAATTCCTTTGATCAAGAGACCTTCACTAGCATTAAGGTACCCTGCCTCTTGAAGAACACTTAGGTTGAATCAAGTGAACTTTAAGCAGACGCTGTTGCAAGAGGATGTAGTGTTGAAGGGACGCACTTAATGCATGAACTTAATGTGATATATGAGCAGCGTCACAGCAGCATCGCCGTCGGGGTGGTCATCACGTCTGCTGTGACGGCAAAGTTCCTTTCCACAGTGGTGGAGCGTCCGGCTTACAACCGAAATGACCCAGGTTCGATTTCCAGGTGAGTTGGGACGCAAAGCTAAGACTTTTACACCTGCTACCTATGTTTACCTAACAGTAAATGGGTACCTGGATGATAATCTCTTACACCTGCTACCTGAGTTCACCTAGCAGTAAATGGGTAGCTGGATGATAATCTCTTACACCTGCTACCTGAGTTCATCTAGCAGTAAATGGGTAGCTGGATGATAATCTCTTACACCTGCTACCTGAGTTCATCTAGCAGTAGATGGGTACCTGGATATCAGTTTCCTTACACCTGCTACATGAGTTCACCTAGCAGTAGATGGGTACCTGGATATCAGTTTCCTTACACCTGCTACCTGAGTTCACCTAGCAGTGGATGGGTACCTGGATATCAGTTTCCTTACACCTGCTACATGAGTTCACCTAGCAGTAGATGGGTACCTGGATATCAGTTTCCTTACACCTGCTACCTGAGTTCACCTAGCAGTGGATGGGTACCTGGATATCAGTTTCCTTACACCTGCTACATGAGTTCACCTAGCAGTAGATGGGTACCTGGATATCAGTTTCCTTACACCTGCTACCTGAGTTCACCTAGCAGTGGATGGGTACCTGGATATCAGTTTCCTTACACCTGCTACCTGAGTTCACCTAGCAGTAAATGGGTACCTGGATGTCAGTTTCCTTACACCTGCTACCTTTGTTCACCTAGCAGTAAATAAGTTCCTAGTAATTAGGCGACTCTTGCGGGTGGCATCCTTGGGAAGATGGCCTAAGCATCCCAACGGAAATATGTTTTGGAAAAATTAAGTATAACATATCCCCATCAGAATTATGTTATACTACCTCGCTTTCGTACGAAGAATTATACTAAATTAATAATACGAAGTAGAGCTTCGTGAAGGTAACCACAACTCTATTATTACTACTATATTCACGCTGGAGCACTAAACCAGTAGGGGTCATACAGCCACAGCGACAGCACTGACTTAAATATGACATTCCTAAGTTCCACAATATACTGAGGCAGTTGACATTTGAACACTAAACACACTCCTCTGGCACAAATGGAGAAGCGCTAAACTCACAAGGGTGACATAACGCCTGGAGAATGGAGGGTAAATCAGGTTTGATCCAAGGGTTGGTTAACTCCAATTCATTAGACCACGATCCCTTCATCAATACCATAGACCGCCCACAGGATGGGTATGGGGTACATAATACGGATATTAAACTAAAAGTTCATCAGCATCAAGGTTAGATTTATAGAAAATAATATCAGAGTGGAAATGAGCTCCACTATTTGGGTATTATTGGGTTTTTCTTGGCTAAGTCGTATCACTTAACAACACTGCTTACCTATAATTAAAACGTGATTAATACAACAATTATAGACATACACAGCATCTGTCTATAGTCTATTCAACAAAAAAAAAATTCCCAAAATTCATAACCAAAAAGTACTACTGCATTTTGTGAATTAAAAGAAAATATTACCAGCTTGTTTCTGCAAGTCATTCTTGTAGTGAAGCCTACTCCCTCTTAACATCAATATTATTATCAATAAATATATTAGGTTAGGTAAGGTTTGTCAGGAAACAGGACAAGTGTTTCCTGACAGGCGATGACCCGCCGTTGGAGTTTTTGGTCATCTGACCGAGGCCTTCCACTGGCTTACAGGTCCACCCCTTTAAAAATTAAAATACAAACATGCAGCCTATATTAGTATACTGTATATGTATGTGTAATTAAATATAATATATATAATATATATATATATATATATATATATATATATATATATATATATATATATATAATATATATATATATATATATATATATATATAATATCTATAATCTAGAACAAGTTACATAGTTTCTACTCACAATATGACGAGTATTTTATATTTTGGCGTCCAGATCATTCTACAAAATTAAACAACTTCAGCGAAGCTTCATATAGTTTCTGTCCAATATTCTTCACGAAAAGTGTAGGTGTTCAACATAATTACAGACTACCGTAATGGGCACTCAGGCATGAACTTTCTGTGAGGCTGAATGGACAAGAACCTCAGACATGCGAAGATTTAGAAGTACGCCAGGAATTTTCTGTGAGGCTGAGCGGGCAGGAAAACCTGAAGACACCCTCACACTGCGCCGCCGGGGCGAGTACTGAGACTTAAATAATTTGGGCTTCTGATCTGCTTTGACCATGCGCATGCGCACTATCTCGACCCCTTCCCCCTTGAATGTTGCCTTGTTGATGGTGAAGGGATCATGACCCAAGGTATCAGAGCTACCTTTCCCTTCCTCAATGCTTCCCCTCCCCATAATTATATACTTTTGATGAGTTTCAAGAGTTTTTTTTACTCCTGGAGCCCGGCCATGGGCCAGGCTCATCTGGTGCTTGCCTGGTCAGTCAGACTGTTGCTGTTAGTGGCCCTCAGCCCCACATATTATTATTATTGTTATTATTGAACCACGGGAAGCAGTAAATCCGGATGAATCATACAAAGCCTGGTAAATGGAGAGAGAGGGAGGGTTGGAGAGACTCTGGTTTGATCCTAGGAAACGTAAGATATCTCCTTTGTCTTGGATCAGGAGCCCTTCACTATCATCAGGGAGCCTCTCCCCCTGGCTACATGAAGGGTGCAAAATGTTCAACAAGTTCTGTTATACTAATGAAACTCACTGAGTGATTGCATTCTCAGTGTCATACCCTGTGTCATAGTAACTATTCTATCATTACTGCTAAGTTGATGAGAAGGCTCTAAATCCGTATGGGATGCTTATCCATGGCATCTTAATACGGAGGATGACATTTCTTTGTTGCTGGCTCAGTTCTCCGTCCACTGGGTCCATGGCATCTTGATACAGGGGATGTCTTCTCTAACATTATTACTAACAAATGTTTAACACGACCTACTTCTACTAATGGGCCCCTGCTCACCTGTGACATCATCTCCAGCTGCTACGCCTCACTTACCTTGTGGTTTAGCGCTTCTTTTTTATTATAATAATAATACGCCTCACTTTTGGCTCCTGTATATAAATCTCTGGTCTCATGCCTCTGCCTTAGGTTAAGGGACTGACCACCTTCAAGGCTGAAGGACTGATCCCCTCAAAATTTCCTCTCCACTTCTATCTCCAGTATTATAATTACATGGATTCAATTGAAGAAATCTGCTACACAGGTGAGGCATTTCGACAATAATGATTCATTAGAGGTTCGCCGGTACTTCCGGCCCGGGTCTTCTCCATATGGTGATATAATGATACTTAAGTGTTGCACATGTCTTAATAACAATAGCTTTACTTCTACAGTTATATGTACAAGGTATACAGTCCATAGCTGACATCAATGACATACTACTATACGGAAAGCCGCTTGTTATGCTGAGCATTTCGGACAAATTAGGTCAGTTTTGTTCCAGGATGCGACCCACACCAGTTAACTAACACCCAGGTACCCATTTTACTGATGGGGAACATAGACAACCGGTGTAAAGAAACACGCCCAATGTTTCTACCCTCGCCGGGAATCGAACTCGGACCCTCGCCGTGTAAAGCGAGAACTTTAGCCATCAGGCCACCTACTGGTATTGACCACTGGTGGACCCCCGCTCTCTTGTAACGTTATCTCCAGCTGCTACACCTCAGATCTGGCTCCAAAATATGAGTCTCTGACCTCATGCCTCTGCTTTAGAAAAAGGGACTTATCACCCTCTATCAAGGCTGGAACACTGATCAACTCAAGATTATCTCTCTGCTTCTATCTCGGTATTATAATAGTCTGTAAGTTTATTTAGGTGCAAGTATACATAAGTACAATTATCATACTTAGTAAAGGATACCTAAGCGTCACACATGTGTCACTCATGAGCTTATGGTGGCTAAAACTCCCGCTTCACACACGGAGGGCCCGGGTTCGATTCCCGGCGGGTGGAAACATTTCGACACGTTTCCTTACACCTGTTGTCCTGTTCACCTAGCAGCAAGTAGGTACCTGGGTGTTAGTCGACTGGTGTGGGTCGCATCCTGGGGGACAAGATTAAGGACCCCAATGGAAATAAGTTAGACAGTCCTCGATGACGCACTGACTTTCTTGGGTTATCCTGGGTGGCTAACCCTCCGGGGTTAAAAATCCGAACGAAATCTTATCTTATCTTATCTTAAATTCTTGTCTGCTCAATTCTACTTTACAAAAAAACGCGCCACGTCCAAGCGAGCCATCAAAGAAAACGCGCGCACGGAACTACAACACAAGGGCAAACACTCAGAAATACTTGTAATTGATATGCTACAAGATATTTTTATTTATGGTGATTATGGATGATTCTTTGCACAATAAGCTAGCCACTTCGGTGGCAAAATATTAAAAAAAAAATCTGTGGGGTAAGCAAATTGATAGTCTTTCATGCATTACACTATTTTTATAAATAGTTATGAGTATATCCTGTCACCAGCAGGAAGCCTGTGTCTTTTTCTCTCAGAGTATATATTCACTGAAAGTTTATTTGAACCCCTTTTAGGATTAAAATATCCTTGACTAATGCAGGTGACATGCAGTTTTAATGACCCTTCTTTGATAGGCTTAAGACTCCAGTGGAAATAAGTGACTTTGACATTTTTTTTTTTTTTTGGGGGGGGGGGTTATCTTAAGTAATTTACACATGTTACGAGGTATAACTGTAGTTAGTAAGTAAGCAAGTTTATTTAGGCACAGATACACATAGCTACAATTATCATACATAGTATAAATTACGTAGGATAACGTAAGTCAGAGTGACTTATTTCCATTGGGTTCTTAAGTAAGTTTATTTAGGTACATGTACACATAAATACAGTTACACAATATATCATACATAGTAACATATGTGTAAATTACCTAGGATAACCAAGACAAGTCAAAAATTGACTTGTTTCCATTGGGGTCCTGGTAATATCTTATTATATAAACCGTAAAGGTTAAAACAGCTAAGTAACTCAGCTGTGTGACCTGTGTACCTGTAGAAGAGCATTGTTCCGACTACGGAACAATGCTCTTCTCCAGACTGAGGGACTGACCACCTCAAAACTTTAAGGGTGATGGACTGATTACATCGTCTTCAAGTCTCTTCTGCTCCTATCAACTTTTCTGTACTCGACTGAAGAAGCCTACTGTGTAGGCGAAACGTTTCGAAATAAAGATACCTAACTGTTGCATATGTGTCTTACCTAACAACCTGTCGGTATTTTATACCATTTTAATGTTCGACCTGTGTACCTATACCTAAATAAACTTAACCTGTATACCTATACCTAAATAAACTTAAAACATAAGAGAAGAAGTAATAACCAGAGGAAGAAGACAGATGGCAGCACCTCAGGTTGGCGGGAGACAAGGATAATATACCGCCAAAACTTGCAGCTCTCCTGTTTTAGCCGACTTTTAATCATTTCCGACATAGTGTTTGCCAGGTTTTTGTGATGCCGAGCGTGGCTGAAGCACCCAAGATCCCGGAAGATGTCCGAAAAAAGTAAGATGGGTTTTCTAAGCTGGTAAAACCTCCAGTGTTATGCTGGTTCTTGTCTTCCCAGTGATGGGACGTCACATTGCTTATTTTCTTTTGCTTGAGGTTTTAATCTTTAGATATAAGGCTTAATTGCTCCTTGCTGTTTCCTTACGGGAGGTTCCTGGTGCTGGCTGAGGGGCTCTTGATCCGAGGAATCGGACCGGTGCTCCAATTCTTGAATCCAGCCCCAATGCCTCCCAGGCTGTGTAACCTATGGGTTTAGCGCTCCACCGTGAAAATATATAATAATAATCTATGCTATAATTCGTGAGAATTGTCTTTTGTATATTTCTGTAGCGCTGTATGGCCCTTGTGGTTTAGGGCTTCTTTTTGATTATTATTATAATTATATTTCTGAATATGTAATGATTTAAACCTTAATAAACGGTAAGCTTTTCAGTATTTTTTTCTTTCTACATTGTTATTCTGATAATACTATTTACCGAGTGTTATTTAGCAGTGAATTAGTGCTATATAGCACTAGTGCATTTTATTTAGCTCTATTAGAGCTATTTAGCACTGACAGTATTTAACACTGTGATAGTACTATTTAGCACTGGTAGTACTATTTAGTACTGGTAGTACTATTTAGCACTGGTAGTACTATTTAGCACTGGTAGTACTATTTAGCACTGGTAGTACTATTTAGTACTGGTAGTACTATTTAGCACTGGTAGTAATATTTAGCACTGGTAGTACTATTTAGCACTGGTAGTACTATTTAGACTGGTAGTACTATTTAGCACTGGTAGTACTATTTAGTACTGGTAGTACTATTTAGCACTGGTAGTACTATTTAGCACTGGTAGTACTATTTAGTACTGGTAGTACTATTTAGTACTGGTAGTACTATTTAGTACTGGTAGTACTATTTAGTACTGGTAGTACTATTTAGTACTGGTAGTACTATTTAGCACTGGTAGTACTATTTAGTACTGGTAGTACTATTTAGCACTGGTAGTACTATTTAGCACTGGTAGTACTATTTAACACTGGTAGTACTATTTAACACTGGTAGTACTATTTAGCACTGGTAGTACTATTTAGCACTGGTAGTACTATTTAGCACTGGTAGTACTATTTAGTACTGGTAGTGCTGTTTAGCACTGGTGCTATTTAGTACTGGTAGTGCTGTTTAGCACTGGTGCTATTTAGTACTGGTAGTGCTATTTAGCACTGGTAGTGCTGTTTAGCACTTGTAGTGCTATTTAGCATTATCAGTGGTGGTGTTATAGCAGTGTTAGTGCTATTTAACACTGTTAATATATTCATGAGGGACTTGCTTTGAGCATGCAGTGCTGCATATTCCACACAGATTTAAAACACTTTTGTAAAAATTTTGCAGTCTAGAAAGATTAATTAGCATTAATTAAGTCAGAACTTTCCTTTTGGCTCGTGGTTAAATATCCAACTTGTGTTTAGGCTATAACAGAAGACTGCTTCTCGGACATTATTTTTTACGAAATGTACCAGCTATCTTAAGCACAGAATAACTCTTAGTGCAAATTGTTATTTTGGACAGCATATGACTGCCCAAAATATGATTGTAATAATAATACAATCAATGGAAATAAGTCACTCTGACTTTCTTGGGTTATCCTAGGTTCTCTACACATATGCTGCTATGTATGATAATCTATGTAACTGAATTTGTGTATACCTGAATAAACTTACTTAATAATATTTTGGGCAGTAATAGTAAAACTAATTCCCTCATTTTGGCTCAAATCCTACATTGGAAAATTATTAGACATTCCTGGCTGATCATAGTAAATGTAAATGCTAACATGCTATAACATTAAGGTTCTGTTATGTTAGTTACATAAGATTACAATAGGTTTTGTTAAGTTTTCACTATTTGCACAACAGTATTACCTGGAGTTTACCTGGAGAGAGTTCCAGGGGTCAACGCCCCTGCGGCCCGGTCTGTGACCAGGCCTCGTGGTGGATCGGCCTGATCAGCCAGGCTGTTACTGCTGGCTGCATGCAATCCAATGTACGAACCACAGCCCGGCTGGTCAGGTACCGACTTTAGGTGCTTGTTCAGTGCCTGCTTGAAGACAGCCAGGGGGTCTATTGGTAATCCCCCTTATGTATACTGGGAGGCAGTTGAACAGTCTTGGGCCCCTGACACTTATTGTGTTGTCTCTTAACATGCTAATGACACCCCTGCTTTTCATTGGGGGGATGTTGCATCGTCTGCCAAGTCTTTTGCTTTTGTAGGGAGTGATTTTTGTGTGCAAGTTTGGTACTAGTCCCTCTAGGATTTTCCAGGTGTATATTATCATGTATCTTTCCCGTCTGTATTTCAGGGAGTACAGGTTCAGGAACTTCAAGCGCTCCCAGTAATTGAGGTGTTTTATCTCCGTTATGCGCGCCGTGAAGGTTCTCTGTACATTTTCTAGTTCAGCAATTTCGCCTGCCTTGAAAGGTGCTGTTAGTGTGCAGCAATATTCCAGCCTAGATAGAACAAGCGACCTGAAGAGTGTCATCATGGGCTTGGCATCCCTAGTTTTGAAGGTTCTCATTATCCATCCTGTCATTTTCCTAGCAGATGCAATTGATACAGTGTTATGGTCCTTGAAGGTGAGATCATCGACATGATCACTCCCAGGTCTTTGACGTTAGTTTTTCGCTCTATTGTGTGGTTGGAATTTGTTTTATACTTGATGGAACCATGGTGAAACCCACTTAATACTGGACATCTTGAACTATATTTTATCACCAAAATATGCCAAGGAGCAACATTCAGTTAATACTGTTTCTAATGTCAAGCATAAGTTGATTGTGAAAGATTGATCTGGTCAGAAATTGTACCAGTTTTAATGCAGCAACTTGGAAATAAAGTAATTTCCTTGTTTTTTGGCTTTATCCTAGATTGTTTTCATAATGTATTACCATTATACTGCTAGAATAATCATTGGGTTATCCAAGGTTAATGCCCTGTGCATTTCAGAATTGATCAACTTAAAGAAGAATATCAGGAAGAAGAAGTTACTCAGAAAGGCTACACTAAGCGGCTACGGTTACTACTCAGCAGTCATTTAATGGAATCTGATCAAAAGAATATTACACAGCTTGAGAAGGATCTCAGTCTTGGTGAAATAACCGAGGTTTGAAGACTTTATTGTAAATTTCACTGATGATATTTATTACTTTTAATTAATGCAAAATAGATGTACTGTTAACTTTATGTTTAGAGTAGTGTGTTTACTTTTCATCGTTTAACACTGAAAGGTACTTCACATGTGAAGATTACACTTTATGTACTGCATGCACACACTACTTGGCAGAAGCAATCATTCAACTCATGCCCACTCCCTTCTTCCCACTCAAACTTCCTTAGTCTGTAGCAGATAGAGGAGTAAAGTGCTGAATAACTCACATAGGTTTAGTGCTTTACAAGTTGTATACAAGTGTACACAACCAACAACTATTAAGCACTTCCTAACAATATCCTCAAATTGCTAATGCTTACCACAATAGCCCATATTGCCCTCTCCCATCCACTCTGATAACCCCTTCACTTACACCAACACTGCATGTTATACCCCCAAAACCACTGTAGTGGTCCTCCCACTTGCATTTCTACATCTCCATATACCCCTCCCCTCCCCCCCCAAAAAAAAAATACATACCATCAAGCACATACCTATCTACTAATAGAAGGCTCAACTTTCCATACAGTACAGGTTTCCTTGGCTAAATTTATACTGATTTGCTGTGTGTAAATTTGCTTATGTGCAGCATCCCCTACTCCTATGGGGAATATACTATACATTTATTTGGTAAAAAAAACTCTTAGGCAATTGGAGAGGGTGGGTGCTGTGAGCTTTTTGCTTTTATGTGATTACTGCTGATTTTTAAGAATTTTTCTCAACAATCCGGCCATGTCTCACCAGGGCAGGGTAACCTAGAAAGAAAAACAAAAGTTTCTTTTTAAATTTAATAATGTATGCAGAAGGGGTTACTAGCCCCTTGCTCCCAGCATTTTAGTCGCCTCTTACAACACGCATGGCTTACAGAACAAGAATTCTGTTTTACTTCCCCATGGCTAAACTAGTTTATATTTGTATTTGTGTAAAAGATTTAATGGAAAAAGAATAGATTTGAGTACATACAGGATTGCCTAGTTGACCTGGCCCCAGGCTGGGCTGAGAGTAAAAAAAAAAAAACCCTTTGAAATCAATCACAGGTATTTCACAAACATGGTAAATCCAATGAGCCTTTTTCTGAACAAATCCCTGTAGTGGGTTTTAATCACATTGTGTGTTGTTTATCCGGACAAAGACAAGCATGATGGATGGTGGTGGAGGGAGAAAAATTATTATTGAATCTTTTATTTTATTTCTCAGTTGCTGGTTGACCAAATTTATATATTTTGTAAATGACTACTTAATGCATGTGTGTTAAGTTTGTTTTTTAACATTAGTCCAGAAATGTGGAACTTGCAAAGTTTCGGAACAAAGCCTTATGTTTTACACATGGTGAATTTGCTTTATTCACTATGGGTGAGGAACACATCTGTAACATAAAATGAGGAAGACCTGTACTGTACCCACTTGAAAAAAAACTACCCCACCCCAAGTCCCATCACCATGACAATGCCAGCAACCCCCCACAGATAACACTTCCCCCTAAACAAAATCATTTATGAGTTGGCGATGCTGGAAAGTCAAGCACCAGACAGAAGATTCCAGTAAAGACCGGTACCAGATAAAGATGTTCATACTGCTGAGGGCTATTAAATATTGAGCTGATGAGTGAGGAATTTGTGAAGCTATTGAAGGAACTCTTATGCACTAAGGGATGGAGGACCATTAAATTTCTGTTTCATCTTTGCTCTAACCTAACAGTAACTTACTCTGGTTCTACTATGTTTGATTTTTTTTCAGTTTTTTTTCACTTCTTGTTTCTGCTCTGTAATTTTGTATTATTTTTCTGATCAAAGACAGCAACAATAGAGGTATGCTATGCTGTATTACATAACTTATGTGTAATGGATGATTGTAATAGGCCAAGCTTAAATATTTATTATCTTTCAGAAAGGATTCCTTAACAAATTGGAGAAACTGCTTGAATCCTCCTTAAATTTGGCAACAGGAAGTGATGAGAAGAACACTGACCAAACATTGGGGAAGCTAAAAGATGGCTTGACATCCTTAAATGAAAAAGTGTGTGTATTTTCCAATGACGGAGATAACAAGAATGCTAACAAGGAAAATGACAGAAATGTCAGTAATGGAAATACACCCAAAGCCATCAGTGAAAGTACAAGCCAAGGAGGAGAAAGCAGCAAAGCTAGTAGTGAATCAGATGGCAACTCAAGCAATAAAGAGGAAGACATGCTTAAACAAGAGGATAACCACATGGAGGTGGAGGAAGCTTCTGCAAAGCTTTTGCAAAAGAAGAAAGTAAATGGTAGGATGTACTTAAGCTTTAAGTTGCTAGTAATAATTGTTTCACAGTAGCTAGCTGTTTTACCAGTCATCTCTTGTAATTAGGGCATCCCTGCTTTTCATTGTTTTACACAATTCATCTCTTAATCAATTTTTTAGTGATTTGTATGGCTTCAGAAAAACTTGATACAAATACTTTACTTGTTTTCTGCAGTATACAGGTAATGTAGTTTACATGTAATAAAATATTGTTAGGTACAAAAGAAAGCCACTAGCATGCATGCATTTTGGGCAGTTCAGGATCATTATGGTACTAAAATCAATACCCGATCAGCCAGGCTGTGGTTCCTATGTTGGACTACATGTGGTCAGTAGTTACAGCCTGGTTGATCAGGCCCTGATCCACTGCAAGGCCTTGTCAAGGACTGGGCTGTGGGGGTGTCAACCCCCAGAGCACATTCCAGGTAGGCAAGTACTGTAAATTTTATTTATCCAATCACTGGGTTGTAGAAAAATTGCTGCTATGGCTTGGTATGTAAAATAATTTAAACTATAGTATTATCTTATTAAATGATTATGGAGATTTGTTACTTGGTAACTAGTTATACATGTCTGTTTATTTACAATACTTGACCTGCAGGTGGTGCTCGGAATAAAAGACGGAGTTCCCAGAATTGTGGTGTCCAGCGATCTGTTGCTGACATGTTCGCAGCTGTTAATAGTAAGCGTAAATGTGAGGAAGAAAGTGAAAATAAAGAGGAAGAAGTAGATGCTGAACCTGAAGAGAAAAAACTAAAACTCCACCATAATGAAGATAAAACATCACATAGGTTAGGAAAGGGCTGTTTTAAGGATGAACCAAAGTAGTTTAATACAACATTGTTTTCATAATTGGTTGTTAAATAAGTAATATTTGTAATGTTAAAAACAAAAAAAAAAATCAATTGTTCTATACAGTGGACCCTTGGATTTTGTATGCCCTAATTTGTATGTAAGACTATAGTTATTCTCTATAAAATGTATTTATTGTTAATATTTCCCATAAGAAATAATGTAAATCCAATTAATCTGTTCAAGACACCCAAAAATACTAACAAAAAATACATATACAGTGGACCCCCGGTTAACGATATTTTTTCATTCCAGAAGTATGTTCAGGTGCCAGTACTGACCGAATTTGTTCCCACAAGGAATATTGTGAAGTAGGTTAGTCCATTTCAGACCCCCCAAACATACACGTACAAACGCACTTACATAAATACACTTACATAATTCGTCGCATTGGGAGGTGATCATTAAGCGGGGGTCCACTGTACTATAGTTTTATATATAAACTAGGGCATACAAAAACAGCCTCTCTTTACTTAGTGACATATTCGTTTACTGATGACTCGGATTTACGACAGTCTGACCAGTATGCATACCTAAATAAGGTATATTAGAACTGATTTCTTCTATTGTGTTTATTACAATATAATGTATACAGTACAATGATGTATAAACATTTAACTCTTTCAGGGTTTCGGATGTACTAGTACGGCTTACGCACCAGGGTTTTTGACGTACTAGTACTCCTAAATTCTAGCGCCCTCAGATCTAATGAGAGAAAGCTGGTGGCTACATATGAAAGAATGGTCTATTTTTGGTCAGTTTTCACAGTAAAAAAAAAAATTCCTGCAGCACAATGCGTAATGAAAAAAAAAAAAATTTTTGACCGTTTTTTTGGGAAATTAAAACACTGACTTTGCCTGTATTTTGTATGGTATTTATTGCTCTATTTCTGCTTTCCTGATTCATTTTATAGAAGGGGGAAGACATATTACAGAAATTGAGAGATTTTGACTGGTTTTTACGAAAAAGCCCTTGGGAATTGAGTCGAAGTAGCAGAAATGTTTTTTTTTTTAAAAAAAGTTCAAAAGTAAACAAAGTAAGCGTCCAGCACATAAAATGGCAGCTGAATTCTTTCACAAGTACGCGATATTTTTAACCATTTCTACACAATGCAGTTTTTTGCATAACAGTAAATCTTTTATTTTTTTGGAGAATAAAAAATTAAAAGGGGGAAAGCAAAAGAATGAAAGAGGGGCATGGGGACGGACAAAAGAACAGGGGAAATTTTTTTTTAGTCCCCAGGAATGTCTTTTTTTTTTTCGGGACATTTGGAAATGGATCTTTTGAAATTTGTGTGAAATTGGCAAAATTGCTAAATTCTGACCACTGTATTGGATAGTTGAAATTGGTAAATGGGTGGTTTCTTGTACTCATTCGATAGAAAAAATGGAGTTCTAGCAAAATAGTTATGATTTTTGTCGACTAGTACACTGGAATTGGCTGAAAATAGGGCTGGAAGTGGGCAAAATCGCCGATGCGTAAACATCGTCGAGACCGCTAATTTCGCGAGAGCATAATTCCCTAACTTTTCCATCAAATTTCATACTTTTGGTGTCATTGTGATCGGGAAAAGATTCTCTATCTTTTCATAAGATTTTTTTTTTTTTTTTTTTTAAATTTGGGCGACCCTGAGAACAAGTCTTGGAGAGGGCCTGGGGACCCTGAAAGGGTTAAAGATATACCAGAAATAAATGGTGCACAGGTGACATTAAAACACTATCAAAGATGGTTGATACAAACCCACTACCATTATAGTATGCTTTTCACTTAGCGACAGATTCGTTTACCGACATGGTCTTAGGAACGGAATTCTGTCGTTAAGTGAGGAGAGGTTGTATGTATTTCTCACCAAGGTAGGGTGACCCAAGAATGAAACACATTCTCTGTCATTCATTCTTTAGCTGTCTTTCCAGAAGTGCAGAGACATTGTAGTTCAAACAGTCCTTCAAACCACAACATTCCTGACCCATCCTTTTATAGCCTAAGTTTCACACTATTATTTTTTAGAAATATGAAAGTTTGCTTTTTTTTAACATGTAGAGAGTATATTAAATAGTTTTTATATTGACTAAGGCCAATTATTAGGTAAAATCACATTTGTTGCAGTGCAATCTGTCACAGCTGATGAATTAAGAATCTTCATTTCAGTAATGTCAGTGGTTTAGGAAACAAATGTGTGGAAATGCCAGTAGGTCAGCCCGGGCTTGGACTTAAGCAACTTCTCTCACACAATTTATTAGGCTTATCAAGATGGAAAGCCCGAGTTAAAAAGAAAGGATAATGTTATGTAGGAGTGCACTGTGAATTCATTCAACTCTAAGTTTGAGAAGTGTTACACTGTTATGGTAAAGTTGAATAGCTAAGAATATCTAATTCTGTATTACCAAATTTTTAGGTCACCCTGCCTCGGTGGGATACAGCGGGTTCGTTGGAAAAAAAAAAATTAATTCTGTAACATTGGCTGTTTTCCACTAAGGTAAAGTGACTCAAATAAGGAAAGACAATCACCATAACTCATGCAATTACTGTCTTGCCAGAAGTATGCATATATCACAATTCAAATGACTTTGAGCCAAAACTTTTCCCGGCTTCTATTTAAGATTGCAGGCACTGGGCCTTTCACTTCCAAAGCTCAAGTCTGGCTAAATATTTAATCTATAAAAATAATTCTGGGTTTCTTGCATTTTGTGTTTATAACCAGTGTTGTTCATATAAATACATGACTGCAATAAAAATTTTAGTTATATTTCCATTTTTGGTATGATACATATTCACTCTACCAATGACTTTTATTCCTACCTGTCAATGTGCTTAGAGATTGTCTTTGTTTCTCATATCTACCATATTTATGATCTTAAAACCACACTGTAAATAACACTTTTTCTGTCTATCAAAGAGTTCATGTTCAGTGGTCAAGCCTTTCCTCATGACTTTTTTCTTTTTCTTCACTTTGGAAGCAATTTTGTAATAGATTTTTTTTATCTTCTCTGAAGTTTGCTTAATTATAGAGCTTGCAACTCATAGATCAAAAGAGAAAGCAGATGTTAGAAGGCATAGTAAAAAATAAGAAAGTTGCTGTAGGAATTCAGGAAAAACCAGTTAGCTGGACTTGAGCCCTGAAAGTGGGCAGTACAGTGCCTGCATTTTAAAGGAGAGGTGAGAATGTTACAGGTTGCAGAGTCATATGAACTGTAATGTCGGTACACTTTTGGCAAGACAGGGATTAAATTAATGATAGTGTGTTTTTCTTTTGGGGGCACCCATACCTCCTCAGTGATAGACAGCCATTGTTAAAATGCATTGGAGTGGGAAATCTTTAATAAGTTAAATGAAAGCATCAAGAAACACCATTGAATTAAGAATTGTTCAGTTATTTCATGCAAGATGTGAAGATAAAAAATTTAATGCTAATATTTTTCAGTGAGAACAGTCCTCGGCCCTTACAAAGTTTGTCAAGTCGTTGTGAGATTTGCCGCCAGCGTTTAAATAGTCCCGAACTTCTTCTCTTCCCCGGACACCCTGAAGGGGCACTGGATGAATTTATTGCACTCACTGACTCCAAGCTTTCACTTTTTACTGGAGAAGAAGAATTTATCAATGAATATGATGAGCGGCCACAGCAAAAGATAACTGGTTTTAAGTAAGTATAAATCATGTGATTAATACTAGCTATAAAAAATAAAATGCATATGTACTCTGCCCACATGTACATTAATTCATAATTTCATTCATTCATTGCACATTCCTGCACAACGTATGAACATACTTTTGTGTACATACATCATTCACGCACTTTCTCTTGCCTACACAAGTGAAGGCTTTTTGATTAAAAAGCGTGCAAATATAAAAGCTAATGTGGTTTTAGTAAATATCTATGTATTTGGATAGGTAATTTTTTTTTTTTTATAGTGTGTATGACAAAGCGGGTCATCTCTGTCCCTTTGATGGAGGTTTGATTGAACGCAATGTCCTCCTCTACTTTTCTGGCTATGTGAAGCCAATCTATGAAGAAGACCCAACAATTGAAGGTGGAGTTCCTGCAAAAGAAATGGGGCCTATCAATGAGTGGTGGATATCTGGTTTTGATGGAGGTAATACTTATATTTTTTAGTTTTGTTAATTACTAAAATCATCTACATTTTATAGTAGTGTAAATACAGTATAGGTAATATAGTTAGCAAAGTTAAGTTAGATTGAGGTATACAGATGTTAATACAAACTTTGTCAAGATACAGTGAAATAAATAGTAGTGGTTATACTGGAGAATCTTAGGCAGTGTCTGACTTAAGATCTTCAATCTTCGCAAATCGGCAACAAAATCTTAATTTTTGTTAAAGTTGAAATCAGACTTACAGGCTATTATGTAAGTACATTTTATAACCCTGTTAGTTGGTTCCTAACCAGATTTCTCTCAATTTTCTGTCTTGATGTGGTCTTCAATTGATTTGTTTTAATGAACAAATTTTCCAAACTAATGCAATTACTACAGGGGAAAAGGCGTTGATTGGATTTTCTACTGCATATGCGGAATACATCCTCATGGAACCAAGCGATGCCTATGCCCCATTTGTTGATGCTGTGCGAGAGAAAATTTACATAAGTAAACTAGTGATTGAGTTTTTGGTGAACAATGATGATGCTGCATATGAAGATTTGTTGAACAAGTTACAGACAACTGTACCTCCAAGTGGTATAGCAGTAATAACTGAAGATACTCTCTTGAGACATGCACAATTTGTTTGTGATCAGGTAAGATGAATAATGCACTTAAAAGGTTCAAAACCTCAACACTACCGATTTAAGCCTTTTGGCTAATCTGTTTTTTCTCCATATACTGTAGTAATATTTTGTAAATTATTTTTGTTTAGTATTTGAAGCATTTGATTATGAGTAGGTTTGGTGTTTAAATTTATCATATTTTTATTATTTCTGTTAATGGATAATACTGGGAAGTTGTACCAATGATTATTTAGATGTGTGGAGTAGGTATATGACAATACCAAGATTTTCGCCGATACTGATACCTTTGCTCTTTTTTGGGCCACCCTGCCTTGTTGGGAGACAGCCAGCATGTTAAAAAAACCTGCTCTCAAGTTTTAAGTAGTGGGGGGCACAGTTCCACTAGTCCGCTAACCACTAATTACTAGACTTAGCTTATTATTTACCTGATTAGCGTTTCCGCTAACTTCGGAAACCGTTAGTGGACCAATTAGCTTCCTCTAAATAAAGTTCCGCTAACTTTGAGTCCACTAAAAAGAAATTCATATGCTGTTGGTAGTTGGAAAGCAATGCCTTTTTAATGGCACATGTGTTTGTTCCTGTCTGTTGTGGGCATTTCTCCAACAGTCGGTGTATGTTTGATTTAAACTGATGTTTGGTGTCAGTAGTTCATTTAACTGTTTGTGTGCATCTGTACGACTGTATCACTGGTGCAGTGATAAGTTGGCACGATTTTCAACTACTTGTTTGTAGTTTATTGGGTTTGAAATCTAAATTAAGTTAAATGCAAACACGAACAGAAACGGGATAAAATGAATGAATACAATGAGTACCTGGAACTAATGGAGAAAACAGTCAGATAAGCTAACTCAATCTGTTTGGGTGCTATGGGGCTTCAGTGCAGTGACAAGTGTGTCCTTGTTGGTTGCTCGCGTTACTTCACAAAATTAACCCTTTGACTGTTGCGACCCCAAATCCTAAAGTCTCTTTGCGTTACAAAATTTTTGAAAAAAAAAAAATTATTTTTTCTTATGAAATGATACAGAATTTTTTCCCGGTGTTTGACACCAAAAGTACGAAATTTGATGGAAAACTTGAGGAATTACGCTCTCACGAAATAAGTGATCTCGGCTATGTTTATGCGTTGGTGATTTCACTCAATTTGAGCCCTATTTTCAACCAATTCCAGAGTTCCAGTTGACCAAACTCATAGCTATTTCTTTAAAACGTCATTTGTTCTATCGACTGAGTACAAGAAACTGCCCATTTACTGGTTTTAACTACCCAGCAAAGTGGTCAGAAATTGGCAATTTGACCAATTTAACGCAAATTAAAAAAAGATGCCAATTTCAAAATAGGGTCCAGAATGAACAATGCAGACATTCCTGGCACTAAAATAACATTTTCTCTGTTCATCAGTCACATCTCCAGGCTCCTCTTATATTACTCTTGCTTTCTATTTTGAATTTTTATTCACACAAAAAATAGAAGATCTACTGTTATACAGACTACTGCATTATTGTAATAATTGTATAAATAACGTCAACCCATTTGTGACTGCATATTAGAAGGGCTAATTGGACACTTATTGGACAATGACGTAATTTGTTTACTCTTGAACATTGGCAAAATTTGAACATTTCTGCTACTTTGAGCTCAATTTCAAGGTCTTTTTCATTGTGAAACCAATCAGAATCATCTCTATTTCTGTAATATGTCTTCCATTCTATCAAATGAGACCAAGAAAACGAGAATACAACCATATATACTATACAAAAATGCACCTCAAAGTCGGCGTTTTAATCCTAAAACACGGTTGGAGGTTCTTTTGTCGTTATGCACTGCGTGCTGCAGTTTTTTTTTTATTATGCTGTGCCCACTGACCACACAGACCCATTCTCTCACATGTGGGCCTACCAGCTTTCTCCTGCTTGATTTGAAGCCGCTAGAATTTTGGAGTATAAATATGTCAAAAACACTGGCTTGTAAGACGTGTATATATGACCAAAACAGTCAAAGGGTTAAACAATTGCTATTTTTGCACCAGTGGCACTTGATCATCATATGACCTTGGCATTCTGTATCTTAATAGGAAGCTCTCCAGATCTGTTCTAAAAGTCTTAAAAGTTAAAGTAACTTCAGCAACTTCACTCTAGCTGTACCCTTCTCCAGAACATCACTTCATCTGAGATCATTTATCCCCAGGATGACTAGAGTCTGGAACACATTCGTACAGCATTATGATGTCAACGAGATAGTCAGTTGATCAGATGAAAATGCTGGCCTACAGATGGCTGCAACTTCATCCTGTTCCCTACTTGTATGTCACATGACAATAAAAATGCTTTCAAATGAGCTGATGTAGGTAACAGCTCTTAGCTTGTCAATAAATTTAGGAATCCTTAACCTGTAAATAGCTTGCCAATAAAGCTAGGGATCCTTAACCTAACCTTGTCAAACCCTGTGTAAAATAAAAAAAGAAGTAAACCAAACCTGAATTCATGTGAAAAAGTTAGCGTTTAGCGTTAGCTTCTGCTAATTTTTTTGGCCATATAGCGTTAGTGGAGCTAATTTTTTAGTTAGCAGATTAGCAGTTAGTGAAGTTAACTTTTCGGTTAGCTGTGCCCACCGCTGGTTTTAAGGCAATATTCGTACCATTAAAATTAACTGATACTTATTGATACCAATTTTTTGGCACACCCCTAGTTTGAAACATTTTTTTAACCCTTTGACTGTTGAGGTCGTACTTATACATCTTACGAGGTACTGTGTTTGACGTGTATATACTCATAAATTCTAGCGGCTTCAACTCAAGCAGGAGAAAGCTGATAGGCCCACATATGAGAGAATGGGTCTGTGTGGTCAGTGTGCACCATATAAAAAAAATCTTGCAGCATGCAGTGCATAATGAGAAAAAAACGATTGTTTTTTTTTAATTAAAATGCCGACTTTGTGGTCTATTTTCGTATAGTATTTATGGTTGTATTCTCGTTTTCTTGGTCTCATTTGATAGAATGGAAAACATATTATAGAAAAAGAGGTGATTTTGATTGATTTTTCTATAAAAAGAACCTGGAAATGGAGCTCAAAGTAGGGGAAATGTTTGATTTTTGCAGATGTTCAAAAGTAAACAAATGATGTCATTGTCCAATAAATGTCCAACGAGCCATTCTAATATGCAGTCATGAATGGGTTGATGTTATTTATACAATTATTACAGTATTGCATTAGTCTGCATATTAGTAAATCTTCTATTTTTTGTTTGAATAAAAATTCAAAATAGAAAGCAAAAGTAATATCAGAGGGGCCTGGAGACGTGACTGATGAACAAAGAAAATGTTATTTTAAAGCCAGGAATGTCTGCTTTGTTCATTCTGGACCTTATTTTGAAATTGTCATATTTTTTAATTTTCGTGAAATTGGCCAAATTGCAAATTTCTGACCACGTTATTAGGTAGTTGAAATCGGTAAATGGGCAGTCTCTTGTACTCAATGGATAGAAAAATGGATTTCTAAAAAAATAGTTATGAGTTTGGTTGGCTGGAACAATGGAATTAGCCGAAAATAGGGCTCAAAGTGGGCGAAATCGCCAATTTGTAAATATCGCTGAGGTCGCTAACTTTGTGAGAGCGTAATTCCGTCAGTTTTCTGTCAAATTTCATGTTTTTGGTGTCATTACAATCGGGAAAAGATTCTCTATCACTTCATAAGAAAAACTAATTTTTTGTTTTTAAATTTTGCGACACCAGGAGACACTTCAGGATTGGGAGTTGCGACAGTCAAGGGGTTAAATTTGCTACAGTATTGGGTTGGAGGCAGTGAAAATGCTTCGAGATATCTATTTATGTATTTGCCAAGCATTAATTGGCTGTTAATAGGTTTCAACATTTTATTTAATCAAAAAAAGGCAGTGTTTTAATAAATAGATTTTAATAGGTGTTTAAAAAATTTTGTCATTGCTCCTTCCTTTTTATTTTATTTCATACTTGTAAGTTCACCGGCTTGCACTTTTTTCACCTCAACCATATCCCACCATTATGCATTCAGTAGCTATTTTGCCAGAAGTACTTGGACATCACAATTCAGATGCCTGAACTGCAGAATTTAGTGTATATACCAAGTGAGAAATAACTCGGATAGAAATATGTAATATGAGTGAGAGGGATCTGTGTATTTCAGCTTCAGTGTGACCCCCTCCCCCATCCTGTCTTGAACAGACAAATGTGGATGTAACATTTAGACATCCCTTGCCATTGTTTCTTAATTTAAGCGGTTTCTCATGTATCATTGTACAATGTTTAAAGTTACCATTCAAACATTTTTATATCATTAATCAAGATTTATTCTTGCAGGTTCACAACTTTGACCTGGCAGGAAATGAAACTGATGACATGCTCATTACAGCTCCATGTATAAGATCGCTAATCAAGTTAGCTGGGGTTACTCTTGGAAAACGCAGAGCTTTAAGACGCACTGGTCCAAAATTAAAGGTAATTAAAATGCCAAAATGGACTAAAGCAACCACTACACCACTTGTTAAGAATCTGTTTGAATCCTTCTTTTCTGGCCAAATTGAATCGGATAAAGAGAATCTGCAAGGCACAAGAAGACAGCGCTGTGGTGTTTGCGATACGTGCCAAAGACCAGACTGTGGCCAGTGTAAGCACTGTAAAGATATGATAAAATTTGGTGGCTCTGGTAAATCAAAACAGTGCTGCATTGACCGAAAATGTCCAAATAGGGTCATAGCTGAAGCTGAAGATGATGATGACAGTGAGGATCTTGAAGGTATTGCGATTGGAGAAATTGTACCTTCAGAGCCCAAACGGCATCGCATACAAAGACACACACATCATATATCTTGGGTAGGGGATCCTGTCATTGTAGAGGGCAAGAGAACTTACTACAAGTCAGTAATGATTAACAATGAAGAATACCATGTGAATGACAATGTGATTGTAGCACCTGATGACCCAAAGATCCCAGTTTATATTGCTCGTATCAACCACATGTGGGAAGATGGACGTGGAGAGCAACACTTCCATGCTGACTGGTACTGCCGAGGTAGTGACACTGTTCTTGGTGAAACTGCTGATCCCCTTGAGCTCTTCATAATTGATGACTGTGAGGATACTCTTCTGAGTTCTATAATGAAGAAGGTGGGTATTAAGGCTTGTTTGCTCAGAAATCTGTATACTTGTCTTTTATTTTCTCCATGTTGGTTTGTGTCTTTTTCTTAATCTTTGAGTTGATAAATTAAAACAATATTCTCAAAAATTTCTTTAAAATTTTATGCAAGTTATTCTGCCCTGAGTATCATAAATATTTGAATTGAATGTTGTATTTGTCCTATAGGTCACTGTGATTCACTATGAAGTTCCCTCTAACTGGAAAGACCTTGGAGGTGATAATGATCCAGATGCATACTACCCAGTCAGCATTGACGATGGCTCTAACTACTGGTACCAGAAGATTTATAAGCCCCAGAATGGCCGCTTTGAGGATGTCCCTCAAGAGAAAAATGTTAGTACATTATAAAAATTGTTAGAAGTGTAATATAGAATGTACAGTGAAGTCTCGCATATTGTACAGGTTACATTTCTTAAATTGGAACTTTATATAATATCAGTGGAGATGTGTCGAAGGGCAATGTGTGGTGTAAATATTATGCAGAGAATTCGTAGTGTGTAAATTAGAAGGAGGTGTGGAGTTACTAAAAGTATTAGTCAGAGCTGTTGAGGTGGTTTGGTCATTTAGAGAGAATGGAACAAAATAGAATAACTTGGAGAGCATATAAATCTGTTGGTAAAGGAAGGCAGAGTAGGGGTCGTCCCCGAAAAAGTTGGAATGAGGGGGTAAAGGAGGTTTTGTGGGCGAGGGGCTTGGACTTCCAGAAAGTGTGAGAGCATGTAAGATAGGAGTGAATGGAGATGAATAGTTTTTGGGACCTGATGAGCTGTTGGAATGTGAGCAGGGTAATATTTTGTGAAGAGATTCATGGAAACCGGTTAGCCGGACTTGAGTCCTGGAAATGGGAAGTACAGTGCCTGCACTTTAAAGGGGGGGTTCAGGATATTGGCAGTTTGGAGGGACTTCTCAACTGTCGTAATTGAGCACCTCTGCAGAGAGAATAATTATGTATGAGTGAAGGTGAAAGTTTTTTCTTTCTTTTTGGGTCACCCTGACTTGGTGGGAAATGGCAGACATGTTAAAAAAAATAGCTTTGTTTAGTGAAGAATATTGGAAAACTAGGAGTGATGCCATGTGCTTTTTTCTCTCGTGCTTCATCAATTCTGTAATTAACCTCATCCTTCATAAACCCATCCGCTGACAGGTCAACTCCCAAATATCTGAAAACATTCACTTCTTCCATACTCCCTCTCTCCAATGTGACGTCCAAAGATATTATTATTATTTGTTTCAGCACTAAGGTGATGAGGATAAAAAAATTAGGTAATGGAAGATTGGATATCAGATTGGAGGGAGAGTATGGAGGAGGTGAATGTTTTCAGATATTTGGGAGTGGACGTGTCAGCAGATGGGTCTATGACGGATGAGGTGAACCATAGAATTGACGAGGGAAAAAAGGTGAGTGGTGCACTGAGGAGTCTGTGGAGACAAAGAACTTTATCCATGTAAGCAAAGAGGGAAATGTTTGAGAGTATAGTTATACCAATGATCTTGTATGGGTGTGAGGCATGGGTTGTGAATGTTGCAACAAGGAGAAGGCTGGAGGCAATGGAGATGTCATGTCTGAGGGCAATGTGTGGTGTGAATATTATGCAGAGAATCTGTAGTTTGGAGATTAGGAGGAGGTGTGGGATTACCAAAACTATTATCCAGAGAGCTGAGGAGGGGTTGAGATGGTTTGGACATGTAGAGAGGGTGGAGCAAAATAGAATGACTTCGAGAGTATACAAATCTGTAGTGAAGGGAAGGTGGGGTAGGGGTCAGCCTTGGAAAGGTTGGAGGGAGGGGGTAAATTAGGTTATGTGTGTGAAGGGCTTGGACTTCCAGCAAGCATGCGTGAGCATATTTGATAGTGAATGGAGACAAATGGTTTTTAATACTTGACATGCTGTTGGAGTGTGAGCAAACTAACATTTATGAAGGGATTCAGGGAAACCGGCAGGCTGGTCTTGAGTCCTGGACATGGGAAGTACAGTGTCTGCACTCTGAAGAAGGGGTGTTAACCCTTAAACTGTCCAAACGTAGATCTACGTTCGCTTGTGTAGCGTTCAGAACATAGATCTACTTTTTTTTACATGCTTTCTTATGGAGAAAATCAAGGTCGGAGCACTACACGCAAAAATGTAGATCTATGTTTGGACAGTTGAGGGGTTAATGTTGCAGTTTTATAACTGTAGTGTAGGCATGTCTCTGGTAAGACAGTGATGGAGTGAATGATGAAGAAAGTTTTTCTTTTTTCAATCCACCCTGCCTTGGTGGGAAACATTCGATGTGTTAATAAAAAAAAAAAAAATTGTTTCAGCAGGCTTTAATCAGGATTAGTCATTTTATTGTGCTTTATCTTCACCTTCCTGTTTCAGTTTGAAATGTACAGGTATTAGAACCACCTTTAAGTACCTTTATTCTTTATCATCTCAAGTTTTTTTTTTCTTATCTCTCCTTTTTCTTCTTTCAAAAAAGGCATAGGCTTCATTCTTAAACTACTACTTGGCACCTTTGTCAGTAGTATTTATTTTTGGTACTTTGGTTAATATCTAGAGACAGGACCGGGTGATGACAAGATTGAAAATGAAGTGTTGAATGCAAGGGAAGGTATGGTATGGTATGTGTGCTAGAGACATCTGACTGCAGGGGAGGTTGTACTTACTAAGGAGCCAAACTAGGCATCCCTTTAAAACATAAACATTGTTTTAGGCATGAAAGGGAAAATTTCCTTGTGCACTCTCAAGCCCAATTTCACGCAGAAGCGTTAGTTTTCAAACTCGACAACGTGTAGTGATAATATACTGTACTAAAAATGAAAAAAAAATAACAGGTGAAGTGCGAGATTCTGCTGTACATAAATTTGCCTCATTGAAAAATCTTTTATATTAATTATATTTTTAAGTATAATTTTATTAGTTAGCTGGACTTGAGTCCTGGAGGTGCAAAGTACAATGCCTGCACTTTAAAGGAGGGGTTTGGGATATTTGCTGCTTAGAGTGACATCTAAACTGTCTGAAAAAAAATTACCAGTCTACTGATTATTTGGAATTCAAATATAAGTACTAATTAATTCTAGATGTTTATCTATGTATGTGTTGAGAATGATGTAAAAAAAATTATTAGAGAAATTAGCAATATAAATATTACAGGACCCCCTTGTGATTTAGCGCCTCTTTTTTTATTATAATATTACAGGAACCTGAGGATTCCATGAAGCACCGTCACTGTGTTTGCTGTGCTCGCTTAAAAGAGGCAGAACTAAAAGAAATGTGTGTTTTGGGTAAAAAACTGGAGGAAGAGTCTGCACAAAACCAGGTATTGTATGTGTTGAGTAGAAATTCATGTGACTCAGCTTTCTCTCTTGTTATATCTGTTTCTCTTTGTGCTGTATGGCAGCTTTTCAAAATCTGAGACAGGTAGTAGGGTGGTAGACAGCAGCAATACAGGATGATGATATCATTCTTGTCATTGGAGAGTAAAATGGAGGCTTGCCAAGAAATTTTTTGTCCTGGCAGGATTGCTTGCTTTTTCTTTGTCTCATACATACATATATATGTATGCATGTATGTACTTAAGAAGAGTTTATACTTACATGCAGTAAAATCACAATAAGCAGGTGATGTTCTTGTATGTATGTACTCTATATGGTGATATGCATGCATTATGTACTCTTAGTAGAGTACATGCATGCATGTACTCTTAGTAGAATGTATATATGCATGTATTCATACATACATATATATATATACTCTACAGTGAGGGTTCCCTAGGGTGGCACCACAGGAAGCCTTGGGGGCCTCAGCCCCCGATAAAAAGTGATAATTCTGCTTCAAAACAAGTCTCATAACCCTCCCCTACCAACCAGATAGCCACTCCTAAGCCCCCAGTATGGAATTCTGAGGTTTTCTGACTCTACTTTGGTATTTGGCTTTTATCTGTTTTGATTGAAGTTTCACATATTTTTCGCAATTTTTCCAAGTTGTGTACCCATCTGTATTGTATGCCAATGCTGTACCTCTGAAACTTTTAGTGCTGTATAATATAACATCTTTGAATTTATTTTGTTGTAATACTTGTTATAACTGTCTTTCAGAAAAGTTGTACCAAGGCTAATATTTTTGGGGATAGCTATTTTGTTTCCAAGTTTTTTTTTTTTTTTTTTAAATAATGTTTATATTTATCATGTTTGGGATATTGGCAGTTTGGAGGGATATGTTGTGTATCTTTATATGTGTATGCTTCTAGACTGTTGTATTCTGAGCACCTCTGCAAAAACAGTGATAATGTGCGAGTGTGGTGAAAGTGTTGAATGATGATGAAAGTATTTTCTTTTTGGGGATTTTCTTTCTTTTTTGGGTCACCCTGCCTCGGTGGGAGTCGGCCGACTTGTTGAAAAAAAAAAAAAAAAAAATTTATCATGTTCATGCTTTTCCCCCCAGACATGTTATGCATCGTTATCTTACAAATGGAATGATTACGCAGTGGGAGACAGTTTGTTTGTAAATCCTGATGCATTTGATTTCAAGGTAAGTCTTCCTAATGAGTGTGAAATATTGTTTTTTTTTTTTTTCTAGTTTTTTCTGAAATCTACAGTTTGCCTTTTCATTACTCGTTCTGTGTTTAGTTGGTTATTTATTAGACATCCCTGTCAGGAACGTAATCTTGTTTTTTTTATCCCCTTATCTCTAAATGCTAATCTAAGAATGCTTGCATGAATTTGAATCTTCTTTAGTAAGTAATGGTATGATATATGGATAGGATGATAAAGAGAGACATGTAGTAAGGGTATTGTGAAATTCTTTATTGACAATGATTCACCTACAGTAAATTTATCAAGTTGCTAGTTACTGTTTGTGGCTTGATAATACCCATTTAATGGTTGAAGCATTGTTAACCCTTTCAAATCTAGCAGGAGAAAGCTGGTAGACCTACATGTGAGAGAATGGGTTTGCATGGTCAGTGTGCACAGTATAAAAAAAATCCTGCAGCACACGGCGCATAATGAGAAAAAAAAACTCCGACCATGTTTTTGGATTAAAACGGTGAATTTGAGGTGTATTTTCGTATGGTATTTATGGTTGTATTCTCGTTTTTTAGGTCTCATTTGATAGAATGGAGGATATATTACAGAAATAGAGATGATTTTGATTGGTTTCACGATGAAAAGTACTACCTTGAAATTGAGCTCAGAGAAGTGGAAATGTTAAATTTTTGCCAATGTTCAAGAGTAAACAAATGACGTCACCATCCAATACATGTCCAACTGGTCAGTCTAATATGCAGTCACAAATGAATTGACATTTATACAATTATATAATAATGCAGTAGTCTGCATAACAGTAAATTTTCTATTTTTTTGTGTGAATAAAAATTCAAAATGGAAAGCAAGAGTAATATAAGAGGGGCCTGGAGACATGATTAATGAACAGAGAAAATGTTATTTTAGTGCCAGGAATGTCTGCATTGTTTATTCTGGACCCTATTTTGAAATTGGCATCTTTTGAAATTTGCATGAAATTGGCCAGATTGCCAACTTCTGACCACTTTATTGGGTAGTTGAAATCGGTAAATGGGTGGTTTCTTGTACTCAATCAATAGAACAAATGGAGTTCTAGAGAAATAGCTATGAGTTTGATCAACTGGAACAATGGAATTGGCCTAAAATAGGACTCAAAGTGGTCAAAATCGCCGATGCGTATACTATATTGCCGAGATTGCTAACTTTGCGAGAGCATAATTCCATAAGTTTTCCATCAGATTTCGTACTTTTGGTGTCATTACCTTCAGGAAAAGATTCTCTTATCATTTCATAAGAAAAAAAAAAATTTTTTTCTTTAACCCTTAAATGGTCCAAACATATATAGTATACGTTTTTTCAACATCTGAAAGTATGTAAAAAAAAATGTAGATTTTTTTTTTTTGTTTTACATGTGAAAACGTGTAAAAAAAACTTTTATCTACATTTTTTTTTTGTTATATTTGAAAATATGTAAAAAAAAGTAGATCTACTTTTGTAGCACTACGAATTTGAACGTCGATCTGTTTGGACCATTTAAGGGTTAAATTCTTCAACACGGAGCAAGTTTGTGAACAGTGGTCTCGACAGTGAAAGGGCTAATGAAGGAATCTGTAGTGCTGCATTTATCTCTACCATTGCCTTTACCTTTAAACCTTTGTAATTACTGGTTTATAATTATAAGAGTTTTACTTTGTTTGACAAGGTGAGGGTTCTGCACTAGAGCTGTGTGCTCATGGATAGGTTGCATTTTTTTTTTCTCATTCTCAGGTTTGCTGTATTAGCATATGTAGCTTTTAATGTTGGTGCACCTCAGCTGGCAGGTTTGGAGTAACAGTTAATCATAAGGTTTTTTCTTTGTCTGGTTTTCTATTTTGTTTATTCCTGTTTTTTTTTAATAAAACACCAGCCATCTCCCACCGAGGCAAGGTGGGTACAATACCAAGTGATTTATACATAGGTGTATTATTTGTTATATTTATTAATATTTTTCATGTTTGTATTGCAGGTTAAACAAGTGCCACCACCACGAAAAGATGAGAAGAAAAAGAAGGTGGATGAAGATATGTATCCAGAATATTACAGAAAATCGTCAGATCATGTAAAAGGATCAAATGAATCTACTCCAGAGCCATTTAAAATTGCTAGAATTATTAGCATTATCCCTAAAATTTCAGGTAAAGCAGCATCTTTGAATTTTTTTTTTTTGTAATAAGTACTGGTCTTAGCTCTGACACCTGAACATAATTGTGTTATAATAATAATAATATAGAAGTCAATATTATTACTTTTAATACTTCAGGAACAATTTTGAGCCCCAGTGATGTTTCTCTGAAGGTGGCTAAGTTTTACCGCCCAGAGAATACCCACCGTGGTATATCTGCTTCCTACCAAGCAGAATTAAATCTGCTTTACTGGAGTGAAGAAGGTTAGAATCCAAGTTACTGAAGTTTTTATTTTCAACACTTATTCTCTTGCATTAATAGGGGAAAAATGAGAAACTTAGAAAGATTTGACTTAATCCAACAATAATTGTAGTGTTGTGTATGTCATCTGAATATAAACTTGTCAGGTTATTTGGTAATTCACCTTGAGTCCTATTTTAGGCCAATTACAATGTTCCAGTCAACCAAATTCTTAGCTGTTTTGCTAGTATGTTTTTCATTTTATTGATTGAGCACAAGAAATTGCCCAGTCAACTATTTCAACTACCCAATAAAGTGATTAGAAATTTGTAATTTGGCCAGTTTCACACAAATTTTGAAATATTCCAGTTTCAAAATAGGGTCAAGAGTAAACAGTGCAGGCATTCCTGGCCCTAAAATAACATTTCCTCTGTTTATTACTTATGTTCCCAGGTTTTACACAAATTCTGTTTTGATTTTTTATTCACACAAAAAATAGAAGATGTACTGTTATGCAATATTGTAGTAATTGTATAAATAATATCAGCTCATTCGTGTACGCATATTAGACCAACCATTTGATGTGTGTTGAACTTTTTTTTTTTTTTTTTAACAAGTCGGCCGTCTCCCACCGAGGCAGGGTGACCCAAAAAAGAAAGAAAATCTCCAAAAAGAAAATACTTTCATCATCATTCAACACTTTCACCTCACTCACACATAATCACTGTTTTTGCAGAGGTGCTCAGAACACAACAGCTTAGAAGCATATACCTATAAAGATACACAACATATCCTTCCAAACTGCCAATATCCCGAACACCTCCTTTAGAGTGCAGGCTTTGTACTTCCCAATTCCAGGACTCAAGTCCGGCTATATAAAAATAACCGGTTTCCCTGAATCCCGTCACTAAATATTACACTGCTCACACTCCAACAGATCATCAGTTCCCAAATACCATTCGTCTCCATTCACTCCTATCTAACATGCTCACACACGCTTGCTGGAAGTCCAGGCCCCTCGCCCACAAAGCCTCCTTCACCCCCTCTCTCCAACCTTTTCGAGGACGACCCCTACCCCGCCTTCCTTCCCCTACAGATTTATATGCTCTCCATGTCATTCTACTTTGATCCATTCTCTCTAAATGACCAAACCACCCAACAACCCCTCTTCAGCCCTCTGACTAATACTTTTATTAACTCCACACCCCCTTCTCCAAATTTTCCCACACTTCAAATTTTCTGCATAATATTTACCCCACACATTGCCCTTAGACAGGACAATCTCCACTGCCTCCAACCGCCTCCTCGTTGCTGCATTCAACCCAAGCTTCACACCCATATAAGAGTGTTGGTACTACTATACTTTCATACATTCCCTTCTTTGCCTCCAAGATAACTTTTTTTTGTCTCCAAATATACCTCAACGCACCACTCACCTTTTTTCCCCTCATCAATTATGATTAACCTCACCCTTCATAAATCCATCCGCCGATACGTCAACTCCCAATTATCTAAAAACATTCACTTCTTCCTACTCCTCCTCCCAATTTGACATCCAATTTTTCTTTATCTAAATCTTTTGATACCCCCCATCACCTTACTCTTTTCTATGTTCACTTTCAACTTTCTACCTTTACACACATTCCCAAACTATCCACTAACCTTTGCAATTTTTCTTTAGAATCTCCCATGAGCACGAAATCATCAGCAAAACGCAACTGTGTCAATTCCCATTTTGTATTTGATTCCCCATAATTTAATCTCACCCCTCTCCCAAACACCCTAGCATTTACTACTTTTACAACCCCATCTATAAATATATTAAACAACCATGGTGACATTACACATCCCTGTCTAAGACCTACTTTTACTGGGAAGCAGTCTCCCTCTCTTCTACACGCCCTAACCTGAGCCTCACTATCCTCATAAAAACTCTTTACACAATTTAGTAACTTACCACCTATTCCATATACTTGCAACATCTGCCACATTGCTCCCCTATCCACTCTATCTTATGCCTTTTCTAAATCTATAAATGCAATAAAAACTTCCCTATCTTTATGTAAATACTGTTCACATATATGCCTCAATGTAAGCACTTGATCTACACATCCCCTACCCACTCTGAAACCTCCTTGCTCATCCACAATCCTACGTTCTGTCTTACCTCTAATTCTTTCAATTATAACCCTACTGTACACTTTTCCTGGTATTCTCAGTAAACTTCTTTTTCTTTCAACACACCGGCCGTATCCCACCGAGGCGGGGTGGCCCAAAAGAAAAAACCAAAGTTTCTCCTTTCAAATTTAGTAATATATACAGGAGAAGGGGTTACTAGCCCCTTGCTCCCGGCATTTTGGTCGCCTCTTACAACACGCATGGCCTACGGAGGAAGAATTCTGTTCCACTTCCCCATGGAGATAAGAGGAAATAAACAAGAACAAGAACTAGAAAGAAAATAGAAGAAAACCCAGAGGGGTATGTATATATACGCTTGTACATGTATGTGTAGTGTGACCTGAGTGGAAGTAGAAGTAGCAAGACGTACCTGAAATTTTGCATGTTCATGAGACAGAAAAAAGGACACCAGTAATCCTACCATCATGTAAAACAATTACAGGCTTTCGTTTTACACTCACTTGGCAGGACGGTAGTACCTCCCTGGGCGGTTGCTGTCTACCAACCTACTACCTAGGACTCAGTAAACTTATTCCTCTATAATTTTTACAATCTCTTTTGTCCCCCTTCCCTTTCAATTTTTAGCTATTTTCAGTCCTGAAGCCAATCAAAATCATCTCTATTTCTGTAATATATCTTCCATTCTATCAAATGAGACCAAGAAACCGAGAATATAACTTCGAAGTCTCTGTTTTAGACTAAAACATTTTTTTTTTTTTTCCATCATTCACTGCGTGCTGCAGGATTTTTTTATATGGCTCACACTTATCACATAGACCCATTCTCTCATATCTAGGCCCAAATTTACCTCTCGTGGCTTAGCTGAGTGAGCTGAGCTCATGGCATAGTACTTCGGCACTGACAATGGCCTCAAAGCTGTAGTACTACGGCGTAATCAGCGAAAGGGTTAATATTTCCAAATTTATTTATACAGAAAAATAAATCATATTCTGTTTTAGATGTAGTGTTAATTTTCAATTTATCTTTAAAGTTTTATGCAAAGTGGTTCATACAGGAAGAACCTTCATTCAGTTGAGTAAATTTTGTATATAACAATAAGACTCCTTCAGAGTACAAGTACTGTACTTCCCTCACTTTGAGTGATGGGGAAGTTGCAGTTTGGAAGATCATTTGAATTGTAATGTCCATGCACTTCTGGAAAAGACCACTATTAATTGAATGGTAGTTTTTTGGTCTCCCTATAAGTATGTACATGTAATTCTTTACCTTAATAACGTATCTTAGCAGTTTTCATTTCTATACATAGAGACTTGGATCACCTTCAGTGATGTAGCTGGCAAATGCTTCGTTTCCTACCAAGAAAATATTGGAAGCACATCTGTTGATGATTTTATGAATGCAGGTCCACATCGGTTCTTTTTCGCTGAGGCGTATGATGCTAAGGAAAAGACATTTTTAGAGCCACCTCTAAAGGCTCAGATATTGGGAAGCATTGGCAAGGTGGGTTATTTCTTTTTTTTATGCTAAACATTAATAATTAAGCAAAATATATCTTAGGAATGTCTCCTATGTGCTGGTGAGCAGTGAGTCGTATTTACTATGTGCTTGTGAACAGTGAGTTGTATATATTATTACCCTTCTCTTTGTTTTGGGTGTTATCACTTAAATTTTTACATTATTGATGTTTATATTTAAATTTTTACAGTATTTTTTGACTAATTATCATCCTCCTTTCTGTCTCTTATAGTTTTTCTTTATTATTACCTGTACCTCATTTAGAAAGTTTAAATAGTTTTCATTTAGTGCACTTTATCAGGTTTTCTTTCTGTTAATATCTTTTCTCTCTTATTGTTTTGAGATTACCCCATATGTGTTTGACCATATCCATATAAAAAAAAATTGGTCGTCATTTGTTTCTATCTTTCACCCATTGTATCAGGATAAAAAGAAAAAATTCTCTGTATTCTATAACTAGTTTTTTGTCAGGAGTGTGAAAGCGATCTGGCACACTGAGAAGTTTGAAATGGGAGGAAGAAGAAAAGGGGGGAAAGAGACATGAAAGGAAGAAAGGAAGGAGGGGAAGGGAGAGAAAAAGAGGGAGGGATAGGAGTAATGAGCATATAATGCTTTTCATGGAACTGTACATTCTTGGATCTTTGTATTTTAGAATATTTGCTAATTAACAATTCTTATTAATAGGGTAAAGGTAAAGGCAAAGGGAAGGGCAAAGGCAAAGGCAAAAGCTGTTTGGAAGACAACATTGACTTGAACACCTTCCAAGGCTTCGAGGAGTATCCCCCGGTAAGGCACAAGCTGCAGACCCTGGATGTCTTTGCTGGTGTTGGAGGTAAGGACAGCTTGATTTATATTCATTTTTTTTTTTATACAGCCTCTCCTCACTTAACAATGGAGTTCCTAAGACCACACTGGTAAACGAATTCATCGCTAAACAAGGAGCATACTGTGGTGGTAGTGGGCTTATGTCAACCATCTTTGATATTGTTTTAATGTCACATTTCCACCATTTATAACATTTTAGAACATTTTTAAATGTTTATACAGTAGTGTATTGTACATTGTAATAAGCAGAATAGAAGAAATCAGCTCTAAAATATGTGTACATTATTTAGGTTTGCATACTGATCAGAGAACTCGTCATAAGTCTGAGTCATCAGTAAATGAGTACATCGCTAAGTGAGGAGGGGATGTATTTGATAAAAACTTTTTT